TTATCTCGGTCGAAAGACAGCTATTAAAAAGATCCGGATGGTGATAGTTAGTTTAAAGACAGGCTTACAAAGTTATTATAGCGACCTTCTAAAGCTATCCTTTGCTGCCATTCAGAAATGACAGTCCGAAGATTGAGAATTTTGGCCGATCATTGGTATTGTCGGACACCACGCTTTGAGAGCTTATAACTTTCTATGCACTCTTGCTAGAGCTACAAGTTTTGTCACGCAAATAAAGGATAACTATTGCTATAATACTTTGCAGTTTCATGAGATGGAAATGTATAGTTTTCCTAAAACAAGTGTCCGAAAATTGATGGTGTACGATCATTGATAATGTACTCTAGTTATCATCATCTTGTTATTCTATGCTATCAGAAACAATTGTGTAATTTTTTTTACAATTCTCAAAAAAACATCAATGATTACTGGAGTCACTTATTACAGGTCACTTCTTACAGGCTTTGCATTTGAAAGTGAAATCAGGCTTTTCCACTACCTTGACTGATACTCCCTGACATATACAATGATACCATAAATTGCAGTTTGCACATTCCACCCATTTCCTAGCATATTTATGCGTGCATTCCTCTTTTTCACATGAAGATTCTATCAAAAATACATGAATAAATAATATATCATTGACAAATACTTCATAATGTACTTGCTGTATATAGCTTTGGACTTATGTTTCTGAGCTTCTTGCCTCTCCCTTTCTTCCTTCTTTTCTTTCTTCTCTTTTTCTTTCCTTTCAATTTCTTCTTTTCTCCTCATCTGTCGTAATTCTCTTTCCTTCTTTCTTGCTTCCTTTTCATCTAACTTTTCTTGTTTCATTCTTTCCTTTTCTTCTATTTCCTTTCTGTTCTCTACACTTGTTAATACTCTTGCAGACCTCTTTTCATAGGAGTGGCCTTTCTTTATCTCAGGTACTTTCGGGAGAAATTTTTTAACAATCGATTGAGATTTCACAGCTTCACCTAGTAAAAGATTAGCCGGAATTTCTTTTACCTCCTTGTCAAACTTCTCAGAACATTTAATCTTCAACCAAAGATTATAACGAGAATCTGTTGTTATGTCATATCCTTCTTCCAATCGCCTCATGTATCTCACATTTTCTTCTTCAGTGAACAAAACAGATTCATTTGAATCAATGTCAGGGTCTTGATCATCATCATCAGCTCTCAAATGCTCAGACCTGGGAGTTAAAAAGTAATGCAATTAAAATTACGATTACTTAAAATAATTGAATCAGAATTTTCAATAACATGCATAATGGATCATAGATGCCATGCATTTAATAAAGGATAATTGAAGGATTTATAATTCGGGGAAGATTACTTGAAATACATCCAACATTATGTGACTCTATAGATCCCATATAATCAAGTTTTACATGTACAAGCAGTTGCATGCACTTAAAAGCTATGCATGTTTATTACATTGATATTTTTATTACAATTACTATAACTGAAATATCCATTTTCTGACCTTTTGACAGCCCGAGAATGGTTGGGTGTATAAAAAGGAATAAATGCTAATCCAGTTTCTTGAGCGAGAGACTGTGGTCCAGAGTCTAATGGAGCAGTTGCATCATCGATGATAGTATCACGGTTGAATGGGTGAATACCAGTAGTACGGAAAGCAGAAAGAACGTTTGGAATAGTCATTGCTTTGCACCATGCTTTATTGAATATTGGCATAAAATCATATTGTGATATAACTTTGCCTGGATTTCTACTACAAAATTTCTGGCACTCTTCATTCCAATATGTTTTCAAGGGGCCAAAAACTCCCTTGTCCAATGGTTGGAGGAGGTGGGTGGTGTGTGGTGGCAAACAAAAAACAATAACACCTTCATGAGCTGCAATACGTATAAATTCCGGGTTGTAATGTGTCGCATGACCATCAAGTAAGAGCAATAATGGTCTTGCAGCTGGAGCATGGGCAAGAAAATGGCAAGTGAACCAATTAAGAAAAATCTCAGAGTCCATCCAGCCAGATTCATTCAACCCATACATAGTTCCTGGGATCTCATTCACGGTAAGTAGAGGGTTAATAGATTTTCTAGCAAAAATTACTAGAGGTGGAATAGCATATCCTGCCGCATTAATGCAG